TTGTTATTTCCAAATGTATTGTTGTTATCACCTGGAACAAGAGTAAATGAGTTAACTTATATTTTTTTTGCATCATAATGTTAACAAAAATTTGTTGGCTCAATGGTCATTCCTTATTTGGGAAGCATTAGGTTGGGGGATCAAATCCCCCTAACCTCACTTCCCCCAATTTAAAAAAAAAAAAAACAGTTTCAAAAAAAAAAAACAAAGGAAGATCGCCGGAAGCGGCCGCCGGCGCCGGAGCTCCGGCTGCCGGACCCCAGCGTCCGGCCGCCGACAGTGGCCGGAAGCGGCCGCCGGAGCTCCGGCGCCGGTGGCCGGATTCCGGTGAGGAGTGGCTTTCTTTTTAAAAAAAAAAAAAATTAAAGAGGGGTATTTTGGTAATTTGACCATGATTTCATAATTACATTTGAGACCAGGTCCCTCATAGTAATTTAGCATATTCAGGTGACCAAGAGTGATTTTGCTAATTCAAGGGTCTTTATTGTGATTTCCCCATATATATATTTTATATTACTTGGGAGGCCTTTTTTTTAAAATTTTTTGGAATTTATAATCAGGGGCATCCGTCAAACACCAAGAGCGGGGCCCCTGATTCCAGACTGTGGCCCAACCAACGTAAATGACTCAAAAAAAAAAAGGAAAGGCCATCCATCAGGCTATGTTTAATTATTCACATTAAGATGTATGACAAATTTATGACTTCTAAATAATATCACGATAAGAATGTAATTATCATATTCCTTTAGAAATTATATGCTCATTACCGTTCGTTGATAAATAGTAACATACTCAATTTAGAAACTTGATTACAAAACGTTGTGCGATCCTACCAAGTGCTGGGATCCAAACTAAACTAAAAATTCAAAGAATGAATAAAAGATTAAAGAATTGTGATGAAAAAAAAAAAAAGGAGATTAAAGAATGCCGCTTTGCTGAGTTAATGGGGTGGAAATAAACCCAGATTTGGAGGAAAAAAATTATGTCGAGAAAATTACCTTAAACAGTGAACCTTAATTACCAAGAAGTATTAAATACTAGATAATGTCAAAAATAATGCTACTAGTAATTATAATAATCCAGTGGATTTCTCATCGGGCTCCCTGCCGTTCCCAACAACAGCCCTTGGGGCTCATTCTATATAAACTCCAGTTAGAGCGTGCAAAAGGATGCTCGTTTGGTCATTTTATTGTCTCAAATCTTTCCTTTGGTAGTCTCTAACCAATGGCGTCGAACAACGGCGTTCCCTCCACCGGCAAGGGCCTCATCCTCAGCTTCGGTGAGATGCTCATTGATTTCGTTCCCACCGTCTCCGGCGTCTCCTTGGCCGAGGCTCCCGGATTCCTCAAAGCCCCCGGTGGCGCTCCTGCTAACGTCGCCATCGCCGTGTCCAGGCTCGGTGGTCAGGCCGCCTTCGTCGGCAAGCTCGGTGACGACGAGTTCGGTCACATGCTTGCCGGGATCTTGAAGGAAAACGGCGTCAGATCCGATGGCATCACCTTCGACCAGGGAGCTCGTACTGCGTTGGCCTTCGTCACCCTGCGCGCCGACGGTGAGCGCGAGTTCATGTTCTACAGAAATCCGAGCGCTGATATGCTCCTCAAGCCGGAAGAGCTCAATCTTGAACTCATCAGATCGGTATGGATCTCTTTTCCGTTTTTCGTTTTTTGTGTTTTTCTTTTGCTTCAGTTTTTTGTATCTCGCCAAAGATCAAGTTTCTTGGAAAATTTACAATTTTTCCGGTCAAAAATGTTTGCGCTTCACGAACTTAGGACGGAAGGTTATAAGTCACGCGCTTTTTCTGTAATCGGTGGTGCCGCGTCAATTTCATTCTAGTGGGGCCCGTGGATAAATCTAGGAGACTAGGATATTCGCAGATTACGCCGCTCAGGATTTCATTTTTCTTGGGAGGAAATACAGGGACCGGGGTGTTGGCGGGGCAATGCGCTCCTAATCCTTCCGCATCTGAATAGATCAGATGCAGATCAGACCGCAAAGGTGGGAGGGCCGGGGACCTGTCACGTGACCTCACCTGCTTCTCCCTCTTCCCGAACTCAGCTCATCTTGAATCTTTTGATTGCCCCTTTTTTTTGGTCTCGATCTTCGCAGCAATTACTGAAAGTTGACGTGCGGCTTGGGTCCCACTTATTGGATCTCAGCATCTCAGTGGTTTCTCCATTTTTTTCATTCCTACAATTTTTTATTTAAAAAAAAGCCTTTCAATTTTCAAATTTTCTCATAATTAGTTTAGCACTCGTTTTCTTGGGCCCGTGAATCTCGAGCCCATTAAAGACTTGAGGGCGGGCAGACTTGTTATGGTGTCATGGGGCAGGTGCGAGTCATTGGGGTCTTTTTGGCGAACGTCTTCCCGCGCTGTTGCTTTTCCTGATTTTTCCTCATAAATAATTAAATATAGGATTATTATACTCCATTTGACAAAATGGAAAAGGAGGAAGATTTGCCTCGTCGAATCCGTCCATCTTTTTTTCCCCTCCTATAAAAAACTATTTTCCTGACGTATTGTTTTTAGACATGTGGGCCGCTTCTGCTGTTGAGAGGTTGTTGGCAATGAGTCATGTGGTAGGTGACTACTCGATATGTTAGCTTATGGATCCAGGCCCACAATTTCCAGCCTGGCAAGCATGTGCAAATTTAAAATTGAATTTACTGGCGTCCCCTGCCATGCGTGACCACATCAGGAGTATATTTAATACTACCTCCGGTTGTATTTATAAGATTTAGTTAACTAATTTGAAAAAATTAAAAAAAAAAGTTAAGTTAGTTATTTGTAATAAATAAGTATTGTTTTTTTAAAATATTTTACTAATCAAGTGTATTAGTTAGAACTATTATTGTTAGAAGGACTATTTTAGAAAAAAAAATATAAATGAGAGACAAAATAGATTAGGATCTTATACTTATAACCAAAATAAAAGTTAAAAAAGATTTTATATTAAGGACGGAGACAGTATTTATGTAATTAGATGTACTCTTTACCTCTATAACAGATTAGAATATGGACTATACGTATATTTGGGAAAGCAAAGGCATAATCTTACACACTTCTTAAAAACGAAAAAAAAAAAAAACTGGAACCATGATTAAAATTGCCGATGGGTTTACTGTTGATTACCATTTGTCAGGCTAAAGTATTCCATTATGGATCGATAAGCTTGATCGTGGAGCCGTGCAGATCGGCACACCTAAGGGCAATGGAAGTCGCCAAGGAAGCTGGGTGCCTGCTCTCTTATGATCCAAACCTGAGGCTGCCTTTATGGCCTTCGGCTGAGGAGGCCCGGAAGCAAATAATGAGCATATGGGATAAGGCAGATATAATCAAGGTGAGCGATGTGGAGCTGGAGTTCCTTACTGGGAGTGACAAAATTGATGATGCTTCTGCCATGTCATTGTGGCACCCCAATTTGAAGTTGCTGCTCGTGACACTTGGTGAGCACGGTTCCAGATACTACACCAAGGTAAAATCAGACGACTTGTTTTTTCGAATTATTCTACTTATTGTCGACCTCATGTATTGTTTTTCTCTCTGTTTTGATTGGTCGGGCAAATTTGACTCTTGGCTCCTTTATGATAGAAGATGTGAAAATCTGTCTTGAAATGTTAATTCTTTGAGCTTTTAGAAGAATTTTGAAATTTCTTAGTTCCTTAAGATTGATCATGAAGTGTATTTTACCCAAACTAGGTTGATGTTTAGTTTTGGGGGTCAGTTTGGTTGATGGGGGGTGGGGTTGCGTTTGTTGCTTTGTTTCATTTCACAAGCGGTGGTTTTACGCGCCTAATGAATACTGATTTTTATCTTGTTATAAAAAAAAAAAAAAGAATTTCCGCGGATCAGTGGACGCTTTCCATGTCAACACTGTGGATACAACTGGCGCTGGTGATTCTTTTGTCGGCGCCCTCTTGTGCAAGATTGTCGATGATCAGTCCGTACTTGAAGTAAGTGCTTAAACATCTGCATTGCTCACCCATAACTAAATAAAATAAACATACATCTGCATTATATAGGCTTGAACTAAGGATTTGCTGAAATGCCATGTTAATTTAAGGTTCTTAATTGTTATGAATATGATTGATTTGTTTTTCACAAATTTTATTACAAATTACAGGATGAAGCAAGGTTGAGAGAGGTACTCAAGTATGCGAATGCATGCGGAGCAATCACAACCACTAAAAAGGGAGCAATCCCGGCCCTTCCTTCAGAGGCTGACGTGCTCACCCTCATCAACGGTGCCTAGAGTGTCATTACCAAGCATATCTTTGATTTTTAGCTTCCTTTCTCTCCCCTCCTTGTCTTGCTTATCTTATCTTTCCGACTTGCTTTGTTATCAAATTAAGAGTGAGATTGTCCCTCGGTTTTCTCTCTAGGTTTTTTTTTAACCCTTTTGATGGGAAGCCCCACATGCTTTTCGGTTTGCAGAATAATGTTCTCTTTAAATTTTGGGATTAGGCTTCAAACAAAAATTTGAATCATAAGGCCGAAGTTACTTGCAGCTTTCTGATCCACGCTTTTTTCTTTGTTTGAATTATCGATTCATGCTATTTAGTACATTAAAAATAAATTTCTTCAACTCCGGGCCTCCGGGGCAAATAAAGTGCAACTTGTTCTGCAGAAGGCAGGACCATGGAATGAATGCTGAGCTACGGTGCAACCAGATGAGCTCCTGGCACAGGTAATGTTACACGCATGACAAACCAAATAATGCAGATTCAGATAACTGATTCTCCAAATCTTCAATATGCGGATTACTTGAATTATAAACTTCAACCGTGCCTTTTTTTTTTGGGGGGGGGATTCCTGCTTCTCAAACTAACAAGTTACAACATTGCCTGCCCCGAGTTATAATGCTGCACGAACCTTCCGTATTGTCAATGGAAATTTGATCCTCAAATGAAGGCTCAATTTCCAATTGAAGTATTCATTGATCTCTTTCTCGCGCGCTTTATTTTGCAGCTGGTAAAAGGGGGCATAGTGCTAAGTGACCGATCAACAACGTAACTAAAGCACAATAGCCTGAGGATGGCATTCATCAACCTCCATCTTCAAGAACTTCCAAGCATATGCACATCTGCCCCACTTTGCTCGCATGTGAGCCATAAAACACTCTACCCATTGTTCACTGCTCCCTCTTGTGCTTAGATCATAAGGCACCGTAAAACTATTCAGACAAATTGAGAATGTCAATACTTGATTATTGAAATAATAATATCAGAATTTCAAACCTCTTCCTGCAGGAAGCAGTCTCTTCATTTTCGTGTCTCAGTCAAAATTAAGAAGAAAAATTGAACATGCAATTTCAACAAGACTATGTCCCAACAACTGATGAATGAACTTCCTGAAATAAGCTCTCGATGTTAAAAACTTGACACTTCAGATCTAAAAGCCCTAGGTAAGAGCCACTCTACATTGTCTATGTGCCGCAGAGTGGAGCTTTAACATCACCTTCTCAAGCAAAGTCAGAAGCACACCAAAAGATATGCTTTCTGATAATATTGCTTTGTATGAAATTTACTCGGCAAGCTCTTCTCTCAGAATTGCGCCATCCATACAAAAGTAATCAGTGATGTATAAACCTAATTCTTTAAACTAGTCCCTAAATGTTATAGTTATAAGTCAACAGTAAAGCCATGGCGTGACTGGCTTCATGCCCTCCCTCTTTTTCTTTAATACGATCAATGGGTGGTAAAATTATTTCAACTCTCTGCTGCACGGAGAAATATATAACTTGATTGCATGAATCATGAGTAGCTCAACACTCCTAGGTATCATCAGTCTCCCCCAGTTCCAGGCATGCACTACTTTATAATCCTAAACCTAAGAAATTTGTGGATGCCAAATTTTTAATAGCTTAAATAGTTAGTTTTGCACAATCACCAAAGATTCTGTTCTAATGTTCAGCTAAATCTTATTCACAAGTTCAGACACAGATTTACCTTAACAGTTCTTCTGCTTGAGATCCTTTCTTGAGAGTATTATTCCTGCAAGAGCTCAAATTTCACATCACTAAGAATGTTGCGTATGAAGGGCAAAAAACAACACCAACGTTGCTACCGCTAATAAATTTAATCTTTGTTAGTCCACAGGTGATATAAAATATCCTCAAGTTGTTGACAAGGTGCCAAGTGCTATGTTAGATTCCTTTGATTCTACACACAAACCCATAACGAATATTACTTCTGTCTATTTTATTTATCCTTGTTTCAATTTCTATGAAATATGATAGTCAAAGTCAAGGAGGTAAGGCGCTATTCAATGCCAGCACGCTTCAGGCTCACGAGTCATGAGAGGGACTGCCTCCGGCCAGGCACTACCAGGTGAGTGAGACCTTTGGGTCCCTTATTTTGCTTTTCAAGCTAATACCTTAGGCGCCTCTACATGCTTAGAAGCAAAAGGGCAAAAGTTAGCTCAAAAGTTCAGGCAAAAAAATTAAAAATGGCAGTAAGGTAAGATAGGAAACTAAGATACCGAATCTTAGAAGTCCAGTCCAACCTCAAATAAGGCAAAATAGTTATTCTTCTTTTAAAATATCATTTAAGCTATTAGTATTTTATGGTTAACAACCACAAATAACCAAAACAAATATATATATATCCAACAAAATTTCATCCAATTTCAATGGCGGGCAGATAATGGCAGTTTCAAAACAGAAATCATAGACACTCGCTTAGGACTATCTACCTGCAGATAGATACTTGGAAAATGTGGAGATATTTGGTGGAAAGATTATAAATAGCATCAGCAATATGCTCCTTGCTGAACAAATACACCACTGGATAGCCTAGAAGCCATCTGAAGCACATATATACCGTGTCAATGAGTTAATATGAGATAGTACTGACACATATTGCCTGCTCGGAGTGGCAAGCAAATGAATGCACTATTCAATGGCATTGCCTACAGGTGATACAGTTCAAAATGAGAACCCAAGTTGTTTAAATGTTAAGAATGTGATTGTTTTCAAACAGGCTAGCTCTATATTGTATTCTGAGCTTAGAACAAAGAATACTAATGGCAAGCAGGCTGCAAGTAGTGAAAGTATTAACATCTTGTAGCCAACCCGTTCATTTGGCCTACACCTCTTGGGGAAGGAGAAGGGAAAATGACCAAGACGAAGGGATTATGTGTGTGCACGTATAAATGAATTACCCATTCAAGGTTGGTATTGTCACTTTAGAGTCCTCCATGCAATTACTGAGATCAATGCACTCAGTAGACTGAGAGTAAAAAATCTGACTGCTAGTGGATGGGGAATTATCCATAAGCTCTGTGCCTTGAGATGATGATAGATTGCATGTTCCCTCATGAGTAAATATTGATGAGAACAACTTCTGAATTGATATGAGTTGCAATGCTAATGGGCTTTGCTCTACCTCTCTTATCATCTGCAAGTATGTTTAAGGTGTACAAAGGAAAAATAAAATTATAAAAAGAGGAAGGTGTATATTTTTGGTTTTTTTTTTTTTTGGGGGTTGGGGCGAAGGGTAACTCCAAGGCAGGAAAATACCTGTGGAGGTTCCTGTTCAAGGTCTACAAAGAGCAACTTTACTTCCGAGTTCAAAGTTGATCTAACATGCTCAGCTAACCCTCTTACATGGATCAAGTAAATCATATCTTGTATAACCATCGCCTTTAGATACTCAAAAATGGGAGACAGCTGAAAAAATTGTAAATACTAAGCAATTGATTTCATAAATGAGGTCCACATTGAGCGAGATGAATATAAAATATCACAAGGATGAATAATTGTGGCTCTCACAGACTATGCGTAACGGCATTAGGATGAGGTAGATAAAGAATTGAAAATGAAAAAGGCAATTCAAACCTTTTGACAAAGTTTGAGGAGTGAGCAAAGGTGATGTTGTAGCTCAGGCATCTTTCCACCATAGTCTACCATGACAACAGGTCTCATTCCTGTGGATAGGGCCAGAATATCTGCCACAAAATTATGGGAGTCACCATATCACTTGACAGAGTAAGATTTCTTCTTCTTTTTTTCTTGGGGGGCAAAACAGAGCAAGATTTCATCGGAGTTCGAATGTAAAAGCAAATGGCCGACTTTACTATGTAGCCTAAAACATATATCGCATGATAGTGAAAAACTTGAATTAGTCAATAAAAGAACCTAATTCTAATCGGCGCCTGGTAGAAGGCTTGAGGCGCCATTTGATCTGAGTTAAAGATGAATCTAACACTTTCACAGCTTCCTCCAACTCTGCAATATCGCCAGGATAGCATGATTGTTTCTTCGAGGATTCCTTGCGGTCCTCTTCCATTTCAAATACCTTTCCTTCCCTCACACTCGCACCAGAAGCAATCAGCACACCCAAAAATGACGACTTTGAAAATGTGAACGACACCGACTCAGCCTCAAACGACGGATATTATATTTTTGGTGAAAAAAAAATTATTGGAAAAATCGACGGGCATTATTGATCTTGAAGATGAGCCAGAGACAGAACACGGTGCCGCCTGGCGTGCGGTCTGTTTTAGGTCGGATGATGATGATGATTAATATCAAACATTTTTCTTAATTTTTTTAAAGTATAAAATTGTGAAGCTGAAAAAAAATGGGCAAAAGCGCGGTGATAGATGCTAATATAAAAATTAATTAGATATTCAATTTAATTTTAAATATAAGATTTTAATTTATTTTATTTTTTATATTTATTAATTTTTTAAAGATAATTTTTATACTGGTTACACGTATTAAATATTTTATTAAATAATAGTTTTAACAATTTATATTATTAGTAAATATATTTTAAGAAATATAAAACTTATTTTTTATAAATAAAAAATTTAATTAATTTTTTTTAACCTAAAATTAGTGTCTTGAAATTGGAGTTAGTACTCAGCTCAAGAAATTGGAGTTAGTACGTGTTAAGGAAAAAAATGGTTAAAAAAAAGGATGGTCTTCGCTCGTAAGTCACACGGATTCTTGTCTCTCGTCCTAAAGCGACAAACGACATTGTAGTTTGCTAAAACGACACAGCGTGTTCCTCCTATTGCCGGCGGGAGGCGTTTCCTAGATCTTGGTTCTACGTTTCTCGAGTCTCAAACTCGATCTGGGAAGGAAAGTGCGAGCGAATTCTCATATTCATTGAGTCGATATTCTTAAGTCGACAAACTCTGGGATCGCAGAGTTCTACAGCATCAGCCTTTCTCATCGCGGTCCCTTCTTTGTTCTGCCACTTCAAGGTCAGTTTCTTTTTATCTTCTTTTATTTTGAAGAATTTGGCTTTGTCTTGTACTCTGGCGATTTCGGATTTCAACATGTTTAAGTATGGCTCCACTGCATATCAATAGGTATAGGCATGTATAATAACGTGGGATCCCAGCCCCAAACCCTACCAGGGGCACCTTTGCCAGCCTCAAGTTCTCAACCTAATCCATTCGGTAGTGCTTTTCAAGTGGCCGGTTCAGGGCTTATTCGAGGTGGGTTGCATGCATACGGCGAGAAGATTTTCGGATCAAGCTCTGAGTATGTCCAAAGCAATGTAAGTTCTATTCTAGTAACATTATTGAATGGTTTATTTCACCATATTGATCACGCCTCGACAGATAAGAGGTGTTAATCGCCTTTTCATTTTTAGTAACTTGCGTTTGAATCTACTCATTACTATATCCCTTCGCCTTATATTCAATCAAACTGGGTTTGGCTATCTTTGGGATAAGCAAATGCAGTTGACCAGCCTTGAATTGTTCTATCTACTTATGTTTCTTGAATTCATTTGTTTCTGTTTACAAAATGACCTCCTCTTTTCTGTGGCAGATAAGTAGGTACTTCTCTGATCCTCAGTACTATTTCCAAGTGAATGACCAATATGTCAGGAACAAACTGAAGGTTGTTCTGTTTCCATTCTTGCACAGGGTATGCAGAAACGTTAAATATCTTTAGTTCCTTTTTTCATGATTATATGATATGATACGTTATTTTATCTTCCCTTCTCCCCTATTATTTTTCTTTTCGGATACAGGGTCACTGGACAAGAATAACTGAGCCCGTAGGGGGCAGACTTTCCTATAAACCACCGATTTTTGACATAAATGCGCCAGACTTGTATATTCCTTTTATGGCGTTTGGTACCTATGTTGTTCTTGCTGGCCTCTCGTTGGGTCTCCGTGGCAAGTGAGTGTCCTGCAGACTCTAAACAATTGCTGTGTTTTATTTTTTATTTTTTATTTTTTAATTTCAATCTTGTAATACTAGGAAGTTATCTGACGATGGCAGATTAAATGTTTTCTTTTCAGACTTCATATCTCTTATCTATTTGTCTGTATATGATGTGTAGAACTTGTGCCTTAATGAGTAAGCATGGTTAAGATGAGAAAATTTTGACCTCACAGCTTCTTACGTTGACCATGATAAGAAAATTTTTTCTTGCTAAGCAAAGTCATGCTTCTGTTATTGTGCTGAAATTATTTTACATTCAAGAGTCTTGCTGTTTACATGCTTTACTACTTGACATAAAGAGTGATCAAATGACTACCAAAATGCCACTTACGGTCATAATTATGAACCCTTGAATTGCTTCTAGGGACTGTAACCTGATTTAAACTTTAAAGCTATCTGATATTGTCTTTATGCTATGCTGCTAATCTTGTAAGCTTTACAAGATGTTGGTGAAATCTTGGAGAGATGAGAAATAAGAGCGTGCATTTGCACTTTCTTTAGGGTTAACGGGAAAGAATTTTTGCTGAAACGAGTTTTCCAGGCTGTTTTTCCTTGGCCCCTGAACATGATTGGATGCCAGAGAAGTAATCAGTGTTTTAGATAGTAGTGACATTGCTATTTGCCCTGTCATTACGGTTATTTGAAATTTCCAGAATGGAATTTTTGTCATATACTACCTGGACTGATAAGTGGGCAATAATTTTTCAAATCTTCTACCTCTGCTTTCTTTTGAACTTGTTAAAGTTCCCTGAAAAAGCTTCTCTTGTTTTCAGATTTAGCCCAGAAGCTTTGAACTGGTTGTTCATCAAGGGATTGCTTGGTTGGGTTCTACAAACTGCTCTGCTGAAGGTGACATTGCTTTCATTGGGTAGCGGGGAGGCACCCCTGCTTGACATTATAGCGTATGCTGGATATACTTTTACTGGCATTTGTTTGGCTGTCCTTGGGAGACTTGTTTGGGGCTATTCCTACTACTTTTTGATGCCATGGACCAGTTTATGCATGGGAATTTTCTTGGTTCAGACAATGAAGAGAGTACTCTTTGCTGAGGTTCGGAGTTATGATTCGAGCAAGCACCACTATCTCTTGCTCTTTATTGCTTTGGTTCAGTTCCCTTTGTTTACGTGGCTTGGCAACATTACTGTCAATTGGCTTATATAGAACCTAAGCTTCTACCCTATGCTTGGAAAAGAAAATTGTTCGTCTGGAATTTTTGTGTTTGTTAGGTATTAATGTTGATATCTTAACTTGTTCTATCATACTTTTTCCCCCTTTGAGGGATTAGCACGATGGCGAATGGTAACCTTCGGATTTCTTTGTGTTTTGCCCGTAGTGTTGGTTAGGTTAATGGAAGAAATTCAGAAACGCATAAGCTCCGCACGTATACTGAACGTTTTGTTTATAATTTATCTACTAGTTCTTGAAACGCTTCTCAAGATGATAATCTTTTATAAATGATAACCATTGCACTATTCACCATAAAGTTGTCATGTCTGACGAAGTTGCCTAAGTCTGGTAATCGTTTTGCCCGACGCATTCTGTAGCTGGTCTTTGCCCTCCACGACAAAGAAAAACATTCGTTGGACAGTTGAGGCAGTTGTTTGCAAGACTGCCTCTAATCCTCATGCGATTGAACTCTGTAGGAAGATTACCATTAAGAAAGTTGTTGTCTAAATACAGACTCCTCCATGATCTTTGCAGTTTAGCTCCGTATTCCTTGGGGATGGAACCAGAGAATTGATTCCTTGCCAAATTAATCGATGCTAGATTTTGAAATGTGGCCAAGTTTACTGGTAAATGCCCGTGGATATGGTTCTCTTTAGCATCAAGCACTTGGAGCTGCAAATCTTCTAAAGCATAATTCGCGACCTCTAATGTCGTGAAGCGATTGAAAGAGATATTGAGATACGCTAGCCTGGGCAAGGATAGAATATCCCTTGTGATGGAACCTGAGAGCCTGTTGTCGCTCAGATCTATCCATCTGAGGAGTTTAAGCCTCGTGAGGGGAGTAATATTGTCGGAGAGTATATTATGGCTGAGACGGAGTGTTCGTAAACTCACTGGGAGACGTGGAAAGTCTCCAAAGAACTGGTTATTGCTGAGATCTGCTGTGTTGAGCTGCCAAAGCCCTGTGAGGTCGGGGATTGTGCCTGCAAATCCATTGTCTGACAAGCTCAAATAGGTCAAACTTCTTAACCCAGAAATTCTGGCGGGGATTACCCCCGAGAGCTTATTCCCAGAAAGGTCTAGATGATCAAGACTCCTAATGTTACAAAGCTGTGCCGGAATGAGGCCAGTGAGGAAATTGTTTGACATGTCAAGCCTGGTAAGCTTTTTCATGTTGCCAACGGTACCTGGTATTGGCCCTCTGAAGTTGTTCTTCCCCAGATTCAGAACGGTTAGCTCTGATAGATTCCCAATAGCTTGGGATATGAACCCATCATATCCAACTGCATCGAGATCAATGGCTGTTATTCTGCTAGAGGAGTTGTCTAGAGGCAATCTGCACAAGATTCCTAGAAATTTTGAGCCTGTGCTTTCGCACGGATCCATCGAGAAGTCCCAGCTGCTCATATATGAGATGAGGAGATAGAATTGGGGTCGATGGCCCGTTTTATTTCCCGAAGAACACGAATATCAGATTTAAGTGTTATCGCAAGGGTTGGTGAAGCTATAAAACATAAAGTTATGGTTAGGATGGGATAGAGAGGAAAGTGGGAAGTGTTTGAATATTTCGCCATTTCCAGACAAAAGCGGATTTGTTTGAGATGGTGGCCTGGATGAATTCAAGTGGTCTTTATAAGAATCAGAAACCATAGGTGGCACCAAGTAATGAACGACTACGGACACGCCAAGAACCTGAGCTAGCCAGACAAAGATCATGAAGCTAGGGAGGAAAACGCCATGGGAATGTCATTCTTACCCCCCGAACATGCCTAACTCACGAAATAATCTCGTAATCTTGCTTCATTCGTGCATAAGACCGTGAGGAGTCGAAATTTAAAAAAAAAAAAAACGCTGTTCAGCCAATGAACTCGTAGATTATAAAAGATCACGTATTCGACCACGTTCAAGCTGATAATGTCTACCTCTAATTTGAAAAACGCTGTTCCAGATATTTAGATAATGAAAATACCCACATCATGTGCGTGGAGGGTGAGTAGACGATAATTTAAGCACGAAAGCTATAAAGTAATACTATCTAAAGCACTGAAACTCCTTACAAGTGTTATGAACCAAGACATAGCTCGCATTATACGCACTTTTTTCTCTGGACTAAGCATTATACGCACTTAAGTTCCCAAAATATTGTGCTTAGCGGACTATACATTGTAACTAAACAACGAAGAGAGTCACGTAAAGAGAGCACGGGAAGGGCTTAACTTTTGCCTCAACCCAGATCAGGCACAGTGAAGTGCTCATCATCGTCTTCAAATTCAATCCTCGGCTTTTTGAGAGACGTAAAGGACTTGGAGGGTTTGTATGACGTAACATTGCTAGTCTGTGTTACTGGAAGCTGAGGGACCTCGGCTGCAGCCAATGCCTCCCCAGGAAACTGTTCTCCAAAAAGACCCACCTCCGACAACCATTCCAGCTCTCCAAACTCCAGTGATTCTTTCTGAACACACGTAAAGCAGAGGATTAAGATCTCCGTATCATAGCACATCATACATGATCAAGGGACTAATACAAGATAAGAATCTCCATATCAATTATAGCTGTGTTGTGTTGCTTACCTTGTCAGGTGATTCGAAGTCAGTGAATTCCAACAAGTCATCCACAGCCCAAGAGGAAGTGAAGGTAGGGACTTGCTGAGGCTGAGTGGGAACTTTTGCAGAAGCTTGTTGAGCACTCCGATTAGGTGGCTCCAAGCGACGTTCTTCATTGTCCTTGGAGCAATTAGAACTCAAAGCCACCCGGATACCAGTTGCAAGGAAGCGCTGGTGGTTTGCGGAGAGGCTGCCAGCTGAGTGAATCGGTTCATCACAGGCTTCACAGAACAGCGCTCTGTCTTCAACACAAAATATAAAAGCTGGCTTGTCCTGTGTTTACAATGTGTGCAAATCACGAAACGTAGATATTAGAAATCATCTATCACGTTCACTGAGCAGGATAAGTCATGCACCAGTTTGAACTAATCCTATCCAAGCCTTACACAGCGAAAGTAGAAGAGGAAAAGAACGACAATTTCTCTATTCTTGCTTCAAGACTACCTACTCGGAAAAGAGAAATATTTCTCTTAATAAAGTAACGGAAGATAGTCCAAACATATCTTCGAGTAGCAAGTCAAACGAAAGATGCTGATGACTTGACTCCTTCATGCACATATTCCATATTCGTCTTATTTCACATAATAGGAAACTTAACACTTGCAAAGACTAATGCAACATGTGAATAGAAACGGCATGGATATTGATATTTTTCCAAAAGGTATTAGAATCCATATGCTATGCAAAGATAAAATGGAACCTTAATCCTCCCTTCGCCCAGGGGAGGGAACAGGACTCACCACTTTGAAACACGTTTTCCCTTTCATTTCCCTCATTAGGTTTTACAAAACAAAAGCTGGACTGAACCGTGTTAAATCGGTGTTATCTAACATCTCCTCTCTACTTCAAGCGCACTAGGTTCCTAGTTTTTCCACATATCATGTCAAGATAAACACCTTCTAATGGTCATGAACAAACCATCCCAGCGGACGAAACGATGTATATAAATCTGGAGACGCACTTAGAAAATAAGGGAATTCAACACACAAATTTAAACCCAAAAAAAAAAAAAGGAGTTACTTGGCAGATGTCACATGTGGGAAGCTTGGTAGAGAGGCACTGAAGGAGAAGCCTCTGGTGCTTGCTGGCTAGCTTGTTGGCAGCATGAACTTCAATGTCGCATTTAGCACATAAAGCAGCCTCGTCGGCGCAACAAATCACCGTTGCCGGAGCTTTCTCACACACATCGCACTGGATTTTCATCTCTAAATATCTTGGTCTTCACCTCTCCTTGTGAAACGATCCCTTCTGGCAGGATTTTGAGGCGACTAATATATCCAGAAACCGCAGGAGAGGCAATAAGCACCTGTGCCGACAAAACTTCCCCGTACAGACCCACTTGGAAGTGTCGGGACTAGTGTGAGCCGCTTGATCTGAAAACACGCTCAAACCGGACACGAGCTGTGATAGCCAAATGTTAGGTCGAAAATGGCGATGGATAGATTAGGAGAGATTGAAATTGAAGCGGAGAAGAAAAAAAGGAGAGGTAAATGGGGAACACGAACACAATCAATAAATGCGGCAAGTGAGGGTGGGGCAGGAGAAAATGAAACGAGTGGAGGAGAAGGAAACAAAGGCCACGCGAGCCAACAACGCGATAAGGGTTTGGAGCTTCCGTATCAACATCGGTAACACTGATGGAGGTCATGAATACCGTGGGCCATCCCGCCACTTGCTGTGTGACTCTGGAATCGCCACGCTAGAACTGACCCAGTTTGAGCGGCCACTCAATTTTCAAGATATTTTTCAATAAGATAAATTAGTGAGAATGACGATGCCTCTTATGCCTAGGGTAGTGTACGGACCTGCTTTCCGTCTCGCTGTCAACAAAAGGAAAAGGGGTCCTCCTTTCCATATGTATACATATATTAATCTGGTACTGCCTTGTGATTATCATTCAACCTCATCTCAATTATTGGCTATCAACACTAGTTCTTGTGAATCCAATCAAGCGTGTGTTACCCAGATTGCATTTCGCGGGTCAAGTTTCTTTTCGTCAACATCATTCTCGGTTATAGCTTTGAATCATTAAAAGTAAATGATAACCATACGTATTAATTTAATAATCTGAATCACGAAGATTAATGAACCGGAGCGAATCACCCAGAAGACCAGAGCAGGCTTACATCTTGTGGGCATGATGACATAAGGGAATACAATGGGATAAAAGATTACCGTATACCTGTAAGTATATATATAAAAGGAATGATGATAAAAATGCAAACCAATCCCAGTGAACAGCATATACGTACGTGGGATACATTTATTATACATATAAATAAGTAGCAGCGTGGCAGATGATTAGATTACAGGAGGGGGGGTGGGGTGTTGAAGTTGAAGTTGAAGCAGGGCCTAAAACATGAAACTGGAGAAGCGTTGGATAGGCCTAAGCCTCTGCGCACAGCTGACATGGCCTTGTGATTGAGGCGCTTCACACGCTTGCCCAGCTTCTGCTTCCAACTGAGGGTTGCGTTGTGGGCGGTGGGGGCATCACAAGTGAAGTGGTAACTGCTGAGAAATGCTCGTCTGGCGTACCAATACTCTGGACCTCGCCGCCCGCTCCGCCTTCCATCTCCCACTTCCTCCCACATTCTTCCTAGTTCGCTCCCACACACCACTCCACTCCACTCCTCTCCTCCCCTCCTCCATTTATTGGTTTGTTTCTGTTGATTTAGTGGCTGTTAGTTATACCCGCTGAGGAAATGCTTCTGCTTCTGCCTTCTTTAAGCTTTGTTTGTTGTACCCAATGTTAACTAACTCCTCGACTTTTGCTCACTTTTGCTACTTTTCCATCATCACACGGATGCTTACTCAAAAGTTGCTGACTTACGAAGCACTCTCCAACATCGAGCTTCTCAGTTCTCACTTCCACTTTCCCTGTCTGCCTTTCCTAATTTAGGTTCAAAACTCAAACCCACACGACACAATCTAATTCCCTCCCGCACATGTCGTCTTGGGCCAGCCTCAACAGAAGCACTGCTGCTGTTTGTAATTCTGATACAATCTCACTATAAGACTCCAATTATCAAATTACCTTTACTGGTCAATCTCTCCTTCAACAAGTTTGCAGTTTGCAATTAAAAAAAAAAAAAAGGAAGAAAAAACACACAGGGAAAGAATTATTACATCTCAAACCCAACAATACTTGAATATGGATTGGTTAGCCTTGAAGCCACATATTACTCCTTCAGTTCTTAATATAAGACTTATTTAACTAATTTGATTAAATTAAAAAAGTTAGGTAAGTTAGTTAATTATAAAAATATGACATGTTTTCCCTAAAACACCATAGTTATGTTTCTTAATATCTTCCTTCCCTCACTTACTTGATTATGGTTGATGGAGTATTCATAAGGGTAATTTTAAAAAAATTGACAAATATGAGAAATAGGTCTTATATTTAAAATTAAAATTAAGTTTAACAATTAAGTCTTATGTTAAGGACCTGAGGAATATTTAAAAACATGAAGCCACCTTTTTATCTTTATCATTCATCTTTTTTCAAATGTACATTTATTTATTAAAAAAATATAGCAATCATTTTATTTTAAACTACATATTTGTTATGTTTTACTTTAAAAAACTGATAACCGAAATATAAATCTATTATGTAATTTTTTTTTATTTTTTAGACTAAATCATCAGAACTGAGTTTTAGTAATATTACAAATTCTAACTAGCATGGGAGGCGACACGCAGAATGGGTAGGTCCAGTTACTTTTTGTTCGGGGTGCCCATCTCGGCCCATGTCTTGATCAGACTAATCAGTTTGGGCTCATCCGAATTGAGCCCGAATGGAGGAAAATAAAACAAGAACTTGCCGAGTTCGGGTTGACATCCCAAGCCTGAGATTGCGGCAAGTCATTGTTCAGCCCAGCATGAGCATATAGTGTATACTTTCTATTCTAATTTTCTTTATTTGATGCATCTCACATGATAAATTTATTTTATGATTATCATGAGAAATTTTTTATTATTCCAATATTTTAAATTTAATTCTTAACTAGTAAGAATAATATATAGTTTTTGAATATTTTGGATTTTAAATATTGTTATTTTAATCTAGTATTATTTTTCAAGGGTATTTATTTTGACTGAATGTCATTATTTTCTTTTTGTTACCTAATGAAATACTTTTTTTCTTAAATTTTTATTTATTTTAATTGTGTTCATTGATCTTTTTTTCTTATCAACCCGAACCTAATATTAGTAGAACTAATTAAATTTGTCATGTCTGGATCGTCCATATTTCATTTGGATGGTCCGATTCGATTTCTTTTTTATTTTTATTTGTTTGAAATAATTATTTTAATATGTATAAAATCTAAAATAGAGATATTTTTTAACTATCATTTTTTAAAAAATAATTTTTCTGTTTAAAAATAATTAATTAAATATTTAAATATGAATTGTTCAAATCAAATAAAAAACGATGCAAATCTAACAAGTATAGTGTGCTCATAAACTGATACAGACACTGATTCGAAGAATTGATTGCAGGATTAGCTTGCTCTGCCTCCATGGGGCATTGGGTCATCCCAGACATGAGGCATGTCAAGGGTTATTGCTTTCAATCGGTGGAATGCTAATTCATATACAGTCACTTAAGTATGAGAGCAAGCATAAAATGGGTTTCAAGTTCAATATAAGATGCATTTTTATATATTAAAAAAATTATTTAATTATTATAATTTTTGACTTATCCAGAGCTTATATACTACCTCCGGTCTTAAATATAAGAGCTAGTTGACTAATTTGAGTAGATTAAAAAAATAAGTTAAGTTAGTTATTTGTAATGAATAGGTGTTATCTTTCCTAAAATATTCTTATTAATCAAGTGCATTGGTTAAAATTACTATTATTAGAAAGACTATTTTAGAAAAAAAACATAAATATGAAACAAAATGAATTGTGGCTTTATATTCGGGATCAAAATAAAAATCAAACGAAAACTTATATTAAACATCAGAAGTAGTATTAAAAGTTAATTTGTCCAATTCAATTCGTTAAATTTTAGTCATTTAATGAACTGGTTAGTTCAGTCTCAAAGATCATTTCATTCGGGCTAAAATTTAAAGAACTAATAGGTTCCGGTTTTCCTAAAGAAATAAGTTAAATGAATCGAGTTGTTACAAAGTCAAACCTGGATCAAATAATCAGTTGTTTCTTTGTTTTTTGTTTTTTGTTGCAACAATCCATTGTTTATTTTATAAAGGGAAAACCCATACGCAGGTCCTTATATTTTCATCCCATTTTGAATCAAGTCCCTAAAGTTATTTTTTATTTTATGGGATCCTTAATGTTTTAAAACCGTTCTATTCGTTGATCCTTCTGTTAACAAAACGTTAAATTGAGATTAAACACCGTTAAAGATCTTAATATGGTGGACGAGTGGATCAAATGCCGCAACCCATTCTCTTTCACCACTATAGAAGACCCTGCCATTGATTTCCAATTCTTCCCCCAAAGTCACTTGCAAGAGCAAGTCGCAGTCCGACGATCCTCCAAACATCATCACTCTGCCTCTAATAGAATGATATAATGACGACACAAGTCCCACCAGATGCACTCGCTAACAGCATGGCTTTTCGTCGTTGTTCACTACTAAAATTAAACCCAATTCCTGCCACTCCTACTACCGTCCTCTTTGGCCAAACTATGGCTTCTTTAATTCCCATATTTAGTTTCGAAGTAAAAGGACTAAGGTCACACAAGATTTAGTTGCACATTACTTCAGCATCGTTGCTCACATAGAGAGGTTTCTTATACTGGTAGGCTTGAGGGACTGATTGTGAGATTTTGCAAGAAAGTTCATAGTCGAAAGTGACAAAGATCATTGAAGTTCGAGAATGAAACAAATAATAAAAAATGAAAGCTCCCTGTGAGTTACGTTCTCCTCACTGTCCTCTTCTTTTTACTCCAGGAAACATAAAATCCTATTTAAAGTTTGGAACTATCCTTCATAGTTTTGAACTCATTTTAAACTTTAGTTCGGTATATAAAGTTTAGTAGTTAGAAAAGTTGTGTGTCTCCTTGTTACAGATTTTGACCCCAATAATAGATAAAATACTAAATGTGTGTGTGAGTTGATGGTCTTTACCATCCTTCATGGCTTTCTTTTTTTTTTTTGCCTTGTTTACTATGCATAAAAGCTCCTCTGTTTACCTCTGTTTTCCTTAATAGAAAACAGAGGCAAACCAAAAAGGGTTATTTGCCTCAATGATTTACTATGCTTTCTAAAGAAATTTGTTTGTTTTCTTTTCATCTCTTTTTGAAAGGATATTTACCTTTGCGACCAATGATGCTCCTTAGCAAACTTTCATATAGAGTATCCGTTAAAATAAAGAAGGCTTTGTGCCAATTCATGGGAGTGAACTGCTCACTGACCCTCCTAAGCATCTCCTGAATTGATGTTGAGTTCCCACAATATAAGTTTATGACATCTTCAAATTCTTGCGTGGAACATCACACACACTGGACCTTGCATTGTTAGCAATCCACTCCACAAAGCATGATGAATACATGGACTTGATGCATATGAAAAATTAAAGTCTTGCACCCCAATATGCTGGACCCATGGATGAAAATTTTAAGCTCGACAAATCTTCATTTTGATCATAAAATTTTGAGGAGTGTCGAACTGGGACTTACCCTCTGCAGGTGGCCATGGGGGAAGAATTGGAAATCACCGGCGGGGTCTTCTACAGTGGTGAAAGAAAATGGGTTGCCACGTCTGATCGACTCACCCACTATATTAGGATCTTTAACGGTGTTTAATCTCAGCTTAACTTTTTGTAAACAGAAGGATTAACGGATAGAACGGTTAAAATATTAAGGATCCCATAAAATGAAAAAAAACTTCGGGGACTTGATTGAAAATGGGACAAAAATATAAGGACTTACATATTAGTTTTCCCTTTTATAAATTATATCCTTCTACAGTTCTTAATATAAAACTTATTTAACTAATTTATTCTTAATATAAAATTTATTTAATTAATTTAATTAGATTTAAAAAGTCAGATAAATTAGTTAATTATAAGAAATATGATATATTTTTCTTAAAATACCATAATCATTTTTTTTATATTTTCTCTCCCTCTTCTATTTGATTATGGTCGAAGAAGATCCATAGAGGTAATTAAAAAAATTAGTAAATATGATAAATATGTCTTATATTTAAAATCAAGATCAAAATCAACTTAATAATTATATCCTATATTAAAGATAGGAAGAGTACTAATTATTGATTTCGTATTTATTGTTGGTTTGATATTTAAAAATAAAAACGCCGGCTTGGGAGCAATCCTAATACTAATTATAGACTATGCACAGTAGATTGCAGATTTCACATCTTCAGGCTTCAATACGAAGCCAACGGGCGGACTCGTTTATTCTGCTTTAGAAAGCCCCAGACGCCTATGACAACGAAGAGCTCGAGGCAACTTGAAGCCGAAGGTGAGCCTTCTTGCTCACAATCTTGAATCCGTGATCCCTGATTTCTCTGAAACTCTGATCCCCATATTTTCTTACTTGTGTCGATTGAATTCGGATTGAAGCCCTCCTCATTCATAGAATCCAACTTCGTCAGTGTTGGACATGAACTTCCCTTCCCGCTCGGAACACGAAGAAAGAATCTTCCTGGTTTGGTTATCAAGAAATTTAATTGTTCAGTTATTTCTACCCTTCGAGTTCGCATATTTTATTTTTCATTGAGTGGGCACTTCCTGATTTGGGGGTTCTGGATAGTTCCTGAGAGACTCTTGAATCCGAGAGCATTGAAACTACCATGAATATTGTTTGTTAAACCGCAGTTATATTCTCGGAGTTTGCACAAGAGTGGGCAGCTCAAAGGCTGAGAAATTAACAGGGATTTTGGGAAATGGGGAAGCCTTTGTTTTATGAGATCTTAGAAAAACCCGCCACAAGTTGTATCATAGGAATATGCTGTGCGATCTGGTTCTACATACAGAAGAAAAATATCGGCTATTCTCATGTTGGACTTAGTTATGAGACTGCCATGGAAGGGCATTATTGGAGGATAATCACTTCGGCATTTTCCCATGTAAGTGTTCTTCATCTTGTTTTTAACATGAGCGCGCTTTGGAGCCTTGGGGTAGTAGAGCAGCTAGGGCACTTGGGCCTGGGTGTTGAGTACTATTTACAGTATACACTTGTCATGGTTGTATTATCGGGAGTGCTAGTTCTTGGCATGTACCACGTATTAATCCAAAGATTTAAGCTGGAGCACTTTCGCAGAGTGACGGCTGTTGGGTATTCCTGTGTTGTTTTCGGGTGGATGACAATCCTTTCGGTGAAGCAACCTTCTTCCAAGCTGGATCTATTTGGTTTTCTTTCACTTCCCATCAGTTTTGCACCGTTTGAATCGCTTGTTTTCACTTCAATCATTGTTCCCCAAGCGAGTTTCCTTGGCCATTTATCAGGAATTATTGTTGGATATGCTATTGCTTGGGGTTTGATTCATGGGATGAACAATTACTGGGCACTTTCCTTATTAGGTTGGATTTTGCTTGTCTTTGTTTTGAGTTTGAAGAAATCTGGTGCAATTGACCTCAACTTTCTTGAGGTTGAATCTGTCACAGATCCATCATTACCATCCGTTCGATTTTTGGGATCAGGAAATGGCAGAACATTGCAGATGAGTGCATTACCATTAGGAAATGTTGAACTCGTGTAATTTGACCACTGTGAATCAGATGCTGCCTTGACGTGATGAAGACTGCTAGCAATGTGATCTTCTATTTCTCTATCAGCCAAATTGTTTATAGCTGCCTCAGTGTCCGTTTCGGAGCTTGCATCTTTGCTATCATGATAATGAATAGTCTCATACTCAATTGTTTCAAATTGTTGTACTGACACTGCCATCGGAAATATGTTGCCAGTGATTTTTAATATGCATGCTTTCTTTTCGTAGACAAGATTTTGTTTTTCTATACTTGGTGGATCTTTATGCTTAGGGTTTTGTTTAGCTATATGGCGTCATTTTTTCCTGTTTGGTTGCGGAGGCAATAGAAATTCATTGCTATAGTATATGAATTTGACTCTGCGACTTGGCATTCGTGCGAGATAAATAATCAAACCGACGGTCTGATACCTCGCTGTTGACATTAAAATCCCACTTTTGATTTCTGCACGACAGTTTTGGAGTATTCTGTCTCTTTCCTCGGATGGTTTGCACCTTCGAGTCTGGGCAAAATTCATAGTCAGAGAACTCGCTTCTTTTTCTTTTTGCAAGGGGCCGTTCCAGACTCGAGCAGTGTGGAAAAATCACAATTAAACTTCATCATGGAGTGACAGTTCTTAGGCCAACAAAATTCATACATCTAGCCGGCAAAATAAAATAAAACAAACTTGATCCTCGCTTCCCAAGATAACCCAGATATACTCTGAAATTCGCCTGCTGTCCCGTTAACCCGATGTAGGATTAAGCACCCTACATTCTTGTTTCATAGCTTAAGCTCATTGGAAAGTCCTGTTCTCGATGATTCTGCAACATCAATTTTATGAGCTATGAAATCAATTTTATGGGTGCATTTCTTTTTTTTTTCTTTTTCCAAAGAAAAGTTCTTAGTTTCCACAGCTTAATTGACCGCAAAATCATGCGCCGTAGGCCGTGCTTCAATAAAAAAAAAAATCCAAACAATGTTGTTTCTACGAAAGAATCCGCTGCATTTGATATGAGAATTACTTTTCCAGTTGCTGTGTAATTGAAAGTAATTCAAAAGTGAGAGAGAAAAGGTGATGAACAACGCAAGTTTGGAAGGCAGAAGAAAAATGGCTAGATGCAACGAGGGGGGCCCTCTGAAATGCTATGAGCGAATTTCGCAAACCGTGATGCTGCATAGGAGTTGGCTCCTCTGTCAACATGCTTTAAGGTAGTCGCCCAAGACAGTGTTGAAGACTGGGTAGTTTTTGTCGTGGATGTTCGTGATGTCATGAAGAGCCTCCATAGCGTCCGTATGCATGTAGACCTTTTTGAAACCAGCAAAACTCTAAGCCTTTACGAATTGCTATTAGTTTCGCTTTTGTGCTCGGAATGCAGCTTCGCTTTCCTGCGAAGCCGCATCTCCATTCGGCTTCGATGTCTCTGACAAGTGACAAGCATAGGCGGGGCATGAAGCTCGTCTAGCGCTAGTAACTGATCGTCAAGCCTCACCCACCCAAGGTTTGTTGCTTTCAGAACAATTTGTTTTCTAGGCTCTGGCGACCACTCTTCCCCTGTAATTTTTCGAGTTTCGACCCCTCCAGAACTGTTTTCAGCTTATCACCGTGAAGATTTGTTATCCAAGGAGCTGTTTAATGTTTACAGTAGAAGATGCTATGTAAGAAGAGAACCTTTCAGCAACGGAGATCATGATATTAAACCGAGCTTCAATAGTTCTTTAAGAGATAAGACGATATCTTGGTCCACTTACGCACCAATGTCACATTCTCAACAAGGTTTCTACCTTGATTCTAATCATCATATAAAACTAATTTTCCAAATGTCATACACTGGCACAGCGCCATGGCCTCAACTCTCCACTCCCACATATAGCCATCCAAAACTGGGGGGGAAAAACAATTTTTTAAATTACAACGAATCAACTCTGTTTCCATCTTCTAAAAAAATAAGTAAATTAACAATATATATTCATTCTACTTATATCTACTATATTGATTGTTGGAACGAATTACTAAAAGAAAGTTTACATAATATACAGAAAAAGAATGAGGCACTCTGAATTTCTGTGGCCATATAAAATACAAGGAACAAAGTCACGGTTTCAATGGTCAAATGCAAATGTCAAAAGTGCTATAAATGATATATGCATGATATCCAGCTCGGAATTCAAACTCTGCGGCCATAGAAAGCTCCAGGATAGGTAGGAACGAAGTCACCGGACGAATAATCTAAAGGCCACCGTAAGAAAATTTCAAGAAGAACCAACTCAAATGAAACTTCATTCTTCTACATCCAGCAAATCTAGAGAAAACACAGAAGTTAATCATCCGAAAAATATACCCATCTTCCATGAATAACTAAACAAATGATGATTACATTGATAACTGTACTGCTACTTGTAACTGTGGTGTTATCAAATTACTAGCAGGCGATGAGAACCAGAAACAGAATTAATTATCACTTCTCATTTCTCCTGCAGAGAGGGCATTGTTTAACTAAGCAAAACCAGAATAATTGGAGACATGTCTGACAAAATTGTTCCCTAGATGTAATGTCGCAATAAAAGATTTACTAAGACATGCAGAACATCCACCTGTCCTTCAGCAGATACGGATCAAAACAACCACTTCCCCATTCCTATCTTCCATATAAAGGGAAAGAGGACAGAGGATACAAGTTTATATAAATAGTTGATAAACACAAGCTATAAACATTTAGATATAGACTATATATCATGGGTCCACTCTATTTCCCAAGCTCAAATACACGTTATTGTAACAAGACTATGGCTACCCTACAAACTCACCATTACTTGAGGCCACCCTAATTGTCCTCGTGGTGTTCTACAGTTTAGCATGTTATGAGCCAGGGGTAGGAGAGGCACCTTCTTGAGAACCCGAATTAAGAATATGAGTAAACCCCTGCCCGATTGACTTCCACAATCTCGTTGGCAAAGATGATTGTAAATTATTTGCACTCATCAAAGATGAGGGCTCTAGTGTCCTAGCAGAAGCAGGATCCAGGTCAGAAAATCTGACAGCACCTAAGAGTTTTTCTGGAAGTTCATATTCTGCTTGGCTCTCAATAAGAAAAGCCAAATCAACAGTCAGAGTTGAAACATAACCAAATGCCAAATGAACTATTGCACTTGCAACCATGGAGGAACCAATATCAATATCTACTTCTAAGAAATTTTCTCCCGTACAGTATTTACAGGTTAGGGCACGCCCAATTATGCAAATGGCTTGTTCTCCAACAGCTTTTTTAACAATCCACGGACCTTTAACAATGTTAGCAATCAGCTTAAGCCTTGAATTTTTGAATGCGTCATCACCTTTCAAGAACTTGTCCATTAATGACCCCTCTGGGATAGGCTCTTTAGTTGTAAAGTATGCTATGGCACTATAGTTGTCCTTGGTTGGGAGTTGAAGATTGAATGCCCACACAAAAGGCTTATCGCCAGCTGAAAACTCATCATCAATGACCTTCCTAACTCGGCAATTTGGATGGCCCATGATCTCCCCAATCTTCACTGAGCTTTTAATCCAATCAAATCCAAGAGGCTTGAGCAAATATTCACCAGCAGGAATCTTGACCCTGGTTGTAAAGTACTCAGGACCCCTAACCATGAATGAATCTCCAGGTGGGGAAGCCCAACCATTGCTACAGTTATCTGGTTCAAGAAGCGGAATGGCTCCTTCAGATCTTATTCTATCTATCCATTCAGGTTCTTTTGTGTCACCAACGCAGGCCATTAAAACTCCTGTTTCCCAGCTGTTTAAAATGAATATGATTTTATTAAATTGATTGTAAGATAAATATTAATTGGCCATGCATATGCTGTCATGCATTATGAAACTGCACAAATCATGCCAAATGTAGATGGAAAGAAAGTAAACATTCGTGATCAAGTGTGTGTGTGTGTGTGTGAGAGAGAGAGAGAGAGAGAGAGAGAATGAGATCATAAAATACGTCAGTCACAAAAAGCTAAGCATTGATAGAAAAATACGACCACCAAAAGAAATCAAACCAAACTTTAACTGTCTTTAGGTTAATTGGGGGAACTTCCAAAGGATCTTAAAATTTACTGACTGGAGTTAATTCAAATTTATGTCTTTCATTTATACAATCTTGTTTACATAGGATTTGTATGGGGAACCTATTGAACCATAATGAGCTTGTGCATTTTTTGCTTGCCAGCCTTCGAATACTTTTGTTCTACCTGAACCATTCTAAAGGAGGAAAAACATTATAACATCAATTCTGGCATCACCAAACACAAACTTCATAGACTGGTCTGGGCTCATAATACTGTCAAAAAATAAAGAAAAAAAAGAAGGGAAATTGAACACAAAAATTAGCCTATTCTATGATGGGCAACTAATCTTGAGTGCAATCTGTAAAGAAATTTCTTTCTGACAGCATCTAAGCCTTATCGAAAGATAGAGTAATAGCAGTGTGTTACAATCATCTGTACGTAGAATAGTCCCCCTCCTTCAGCCTCCAGTAATTTCCAGCGTCAAGCTCAGAATATATTAACAAAGGCGATAATAACGATCGAAGTCTTCAAAAGGAAGAGAAAAGCATATACTTATTTAACCTTTTTTTTTTGGGGGGGGGGGGGGGAGACAAAGTCGGACGACGAAATAAAAGTAAGGGGGATAAATCGTGAAACCCAAACCCGTGTGGACTATTCAGCTAGGGGAAACACCACAGTATAATGACAGAAAGATATTCACTGTGGATTACCTGAGTAACTCGAAAATGCCAACCAAGAGACTTCGGGGAAGTGACAAGGCTCTGCACCGAGTTAACGAACAATTAGACAAGAAACGAGACCTGATATTAGGGATTGGCCATGAAATTTTGCAACTGGATGGTATGGAGGCCGAGGACCAAAGGGATAAAGAGGTGAGTCCTTTTCTATTTTTTCCCCTTAATCTCTTCAAAGAATCAAATTTCCCGTCAAAGAAGGAAAGAGAGAAAACAGAATCACTTTATTTTCCTTCCCCGGAGAAGGACCAACCTGAACAGTCCCGTCCTACGATGCAATGCCCGAGTGCTGGGAGGAGGACCCCCTTTTTTTAATAAATTAATCAGTCAGCATAAATCACATTATTTATAATAATTTATTATAAATAATATTTTGTTATAAATATAGCGATATAAATTTTTTAAAAAATTAATCCGAAAATCGTTTGTCCTTTTTAGATTCACTTTCAGCAGTAGCCTCATATGAATTAACAGTATTAAGAAATCTGTTATAAGGCCTGATGTGGAAAAAAAAAATTCCTAACTTAAATTACTAAGCAACTTATTCTGAGGGACAACTGGATCCGGGGGCAAGCCTGTCTGTGGTGAAAAGTGGGGGAAAGAGTCAAAGAAAATTATCATAGATTAATTTTTCCTAAATTTTATACTGCATAGATATATAGATGATAATTGCATCTCATAGATGCCTGAGACCAGACATTAAATTAGAGCTGGTAAAGGGCTCCCGGTGCAGATACAGACCCGTGAAGAGAGGGTTGGCGGCCCACTTATATTATTATTATTATTTAAAAATATGTTGTCACATAATTAAGGGAGGGAGCCAGGGATCAAACCTGATATTGAAGCATAAGTTAATAATTGTTCAGCAATTCAGCATCATTCATGATTACAAAATAATGAAATACATCATACATAAAACTGTAAAAAATTTTAAGACGGGACAAATCAAGAATTTAATCTGGTAAATGGGTGTAACTCTAGACATACAAGCCGAAGAAGATTCTAAATGGGGGCAGTTAGTTTTGCAATTGCTTCAAAACTGTAAAATTTTGCATCTCAATCATAAATGTATATGAATTTGCTTAGATATTAACAAAATTTTAAACTAACATCTGGAAGGCAGAAGGATACATGAAATAAAGATATAATGTTGATTATTGATATGCACACAAATTGCTACGGTCAGGGGTCAAGATATGACGCTGCTGCCCCCTGGCAAAAGTTTTAGTTTTTTAAATTTCATGGTTAACATTTCATTATTTCAGTTTCAGAAACTATTTATTATTTTTTAGATAAAAAGAATTTTTATTATTCATATATGTTGAATTTTAAAGTTTGAAATATTGAAATCGCATTTAAAGTATTGGACTTGAGTAGTGAATTATAATAAAATAATATGAGAATCGATTTATAATGATGTAGTAAGAAAAATGTGCGAGCTAAAGTAACTGACACCTTGACGAGCTGAGTCCGCGAGCTTAACCTGTATTACCAGCTCTACCTTAAATTCCTACTATTTAATGGCCCAACCCCAAAAGCCACACGCCCAGGCCACTATCTTCTCCCAGTTTCTTTTTTCCCCCCTAAAGCAGACAGAACTGGTTTTCAATTGACAGAATCGGATTCATTTATATTATTCAAATGATTATGCAAATATTTCATAGTTGCATGATCTAAAAATATCTGCTCCATATTTGGATTAGGCCAGTATAAATATATAGATAGATAGATAGTTTTCTCACGATGGTTTTGAATGGATGGGAAACCATGTGTAATTGCCTCCACAATGGATTTGTGCCATTGGATCTGCAGTGAACGATTTTAATCAATTTAACTATCAGTTTAAAAAGAATTAAATCCAAGTACGAACTTGACGATCCAAATCTTCTTCTCTTCTTCTTTTGCCTCTGATGATGCAAATCTTCAGTGGATATTATAGAGGGTAGAGCTATAATATAGAAATAATAGACGCTTGAAGGCCTTAAACTCATTTAATTATCAAATGCTGTTACACACAGAAATAAATCACACTGTGAGAATAAGCTAGAACAAATGAACCATAGTGAAATAGCTAAGCCTAGGAATAGTTATGGGTAAGGGAGGGTGGCAATGTGGTTGTGAGCCACAGTTCCGATCCAAAGCTTCCCGTCTGTCTCTCTGACTTCACTCACCAGCTTCATTACTTCCCCCCCTCTATCTTCGAGAACATCCAATATCTGTCCATTCTCATCAAAAAGTGAAATCACAGTGTACATCCTCATCCCCATTATTCTAGCCAATATGCTCATTCTCATCGGCAACCTGAAGTAAATATTCCTTAACCATGGATTGTGAGTCAGCACTTCTTGTGCTGCAGTGCGGCAACAGTCTATTGCTACCCAGAATTGTCCTTTTCCATTTATCCTTACGTTGTCTGGAAATCCCGGAAGATTAGCTACATGTTCCACGGTTCCCATTTTTGGACCTTGTAGCCAAAACTTCATTAGTCTGTCATATGAAAGGTCCATGCTTTAGTTAGTTTACCTGTCATCAAATTTCATCATTCAGGGCAGGGTAGTGTAATTACTCACCGGCAATTGGTAGTTTCAGTGTAGAGAAGAGAGGATTGATCTTTAGAAAATTGAACTCCATTAGGAAAAGCAAGCCCATCTAACACAACATGGGTCGTTCTGGTGGGAGGATCGTATCTGAGAAGCCTACCAGTGGCCTCGCCTTCCAGTAATATGAGGAAATGCGCACTGCATACAGAGACACATGATACAATGATATGAACCAAATCCTACCACCTATATATGGGAAATTCATAAATATGCTTACACTCTGTTGTATCTTCTGCTGGTATCTGTGAAAAAGATGGATCCATTCTTATGAATGTCAAGGTCATTGGCGAAGAGAATGGGCTTTCCTTCAACATGGGTTGCCAGAGGGGTAGCAATTCCTCCATCAGGTCCAACCACCAAAAGGCCAAAGTATGCATCAGCAATGTACAAGTCCCCACTCTCTTTGTCAAACCTTAAACCCAAGGGACGCCCGCACGTTTTCTCATACTTCCATTGCTTGGCTGTCGTCGAGTCATTGCCCCTATAGCAAAGCTTCTCCGTCCTTTCAAGTATTAGCAATTTAGTAATCAGGAAACATTTAAGAATGTGAATAAACAAGAAATAGAAAACCTTCTGGGGAGAATCACCAATTGGTTGTAACTAATGCAAATGTTTCCCAACCCATTTGCTCCCCCATCCATCTCACAATGCGTCCATCAGCTAATCCTGCATAAGGGCCACGACCCACAGGATCAAACTCCAAGGACTCCGGTCCGAAGACTTGGTCTTTGAACTCCAATTTCCCGTGGAGCCCTAGTCTGCTCATATTGTCCCTTGGCCAACTCTTCATCACTTGGTGATAAGGTGCAATGTCATGCTTCACAGGTACGAATTCATGATTTCCCAGTGGTCCCAAATGAAATGGGTCCATTACAACAAATCCCAGAGCCAAGACAAGAGCAAGGATAAAAGGGTGTTGCAGAAAGGTTTCATCTTTTAGTGGGCGTCTCTTCTCCATGCATGTAATTAAGGGTGCAAGGTTTTGATGTGACGATGATAAGAAAGTTAAAGGAGAAGGATGCCCACTTGAGTGAGAAAGCCAGAGATCAAACGCTGTGCCGATTATCTGATCCGAAACAAGTACTTAGCTTGGAAGAGTTTCATATGCAGAAAGGTTGAAGAGTTGAAAGCACGCGTTGCTCGTGAGAGCACAGAGGTTGGGAGCAGGTCATTTATTGTTGAGACATGTGTTTCGCGTTCTGTTGTATTTATGGGAAGAACATATCTTCATGGTGGAAGTCTTGCGGTTTTTATAATCGTTGAAGTGTCATCTGTGCGGACTCAAGAACAGTGACATGACAATAAAATAACCAACATGATCATAACTGAACTTGCGCATGCACTGCTCGTACCATGCAGTCTATGGCTATAAAGAATATAGATTTTGATCTTGTAACTGGAATTTCTCTCAAGTTTCGCCGAATAAAACCCAAGAACTTCAACTGAGTTACTAGTTCTTCAAAATTTTGCCCGTACTCACTTATTTTAAAACTATGTTCTTCAAATGCCTGTGTAATTTGCAAGCCTTTTGGGCGGAAGCATACTCCGCATCGCTAGCTGTTCGTCAAGGCTTTTGATCATTTTAGTGAGTCGATACATCTCGCTTGATCTCTGCGAGTTCTAAAATTGCAGTCAGGGGGTGCTAAATTGTCCTCCTCCATTTTCTGCCCCTCGCTATCCGTGCTTTTGCTGTTGGGTGTCCACAATGTTTCTGCAAGCGCTGGAATAAAACCTCCTGGCCCCCTCGCGTCTTCTGGTCTCTGGGTTCTGCCTCCGCGTTCATTCCAGTTTGAGCTCGTGATTTACTGCCAGCTCATAATGCTAAAAGTGGGATTAATCCTCTAAATTAATTTAATATGCCTAATAATAATATCAATTCCACAAGATTTATTTATCAGCGAAAAATGGGCTGATGGGGAAGGAATAGCATTAAATTAAGGTTGAAAATTGGATTTAGAATTGCTGGCCGAGAAATAAAAATAGGTAAATAACTGAAATTAGTGAAAAAAAAATTCTGGTGTTGCGTGATACTGTCCATGATTTTATCATGACGGCTAACAAATATTTTATGGAGCCGTGCATGGCACGGGAAAAATTCCAAGTTCGGTAAAGATAGTCCCGAGCTGCCACGTCAGCTGCGTGTCAGACGATAATGAAGGCTACAAGATCATAGTGATGATATAGAAATAGAAGATCTCCTTCTCCTTTCATAATATTTCTAAGGAGCAGCGCGGGAATCCTAAATCGGAACCATGCCTCAGTTTCGATCCTTCTTGTTCAAATCCAGTCGCTTCCATTCACGCTCTAGTTCCATTAGTTCGGCCACTTCCTCAGTCTCCCGTTCTCACTTCGCTCCGTTTTCTCCTCATTCTGACCTTCTCGACCGCCCTGCTTCGAATGGCTTTTCGTATCTTCGTCGTCTGCTTCAATATTCTAGCGCCTTTGGTTCCGATAATGATTTGCGTCGAGCTCTCTCAATTCGGAAGAGTTTGAGCAAAATGGGAAGTGGAAATGTTAGGGGTTTCTGTACCGAGCCTGACCGGGAGTCCATAGAGTATGACGTCGTAATCGTCGGGGCTGGACCTGCCGGTTTATCTGCGGCGATTCGGTTTAAGCAAATGTGCCGTGAAAAGGATGTCGATTTGTCAGTATGTGTCGTCGAGAAAGGTGCTGAAGTCGGTATGTTTCGCAGCTTCATATAAGATTATATTGTCAAGCCTTGAACTTGCTCATGCACCGCTCCTACGAGCCAATCTATGGCTGTAGATTTTGCACTGTAAATAGAATTTCAATCAAGTTCATCGTATGATTGATAATTCTTGAAGTTTTGGCTTCCACTCTTCCATTTTAAATTTATGTTCTGCTGCCCGAGTACATTTATACCAGTTGTTGGCGGTGGCATATACCATATAGTTGGTCATCAAGATTTCGATTACGTTTGAAATTGATGCATCTCGCTTGATCTCTGCGAGTTCTAAATTTCTAGTCACACTTTTAGTTTTCCTGTAATGTATCTTGCTTCATTTTTTCCCCTTCTTTTTATCCGTATTTTTGTTCTTAGGTGCTCATATTCTTTCTGGAAACGTTTTTGAACCCAGAGCACTGAATGAGCTTCTTCCGAGGTGGAAGCAAGAAGAGGTGCATTATGCTGTCTCATATCTCCAATTATACTGCTCTTAGCAATGTTCAGGCTGTATGCAATCTTCTCAAATTGTATTGCATATGCCTGTTGGACCTGTTTTTTTGTGAGAGAGAAAGAACAATTTTTGGAGGGGGGGTGAGTGTGGAGAGTAGATAAACAGAGAAGTTATGTTTTTATGAATACTTCATAAAACCAGTTACTTCTGCGTCCGATATGTGTCACACCACATAAAACTGTATAGTATGCCTAAACACTTCAGATTTTAACTATTGTCCCTGTTGCAACATCCATATTGGATGCGTTACCATGCTTCTTTGATTGGAAGAAAAATATGATGCTCTGAACTTGCAGAAGATTACTAATTCTCCTTGTTTTATATCTGATTTCATCATATAAGCCTTTCCTTTTATCTGCAGGCTCCAATCAGTACCCCTGTTACTTCTGATCAGTTTTGGTTTCTGACCAAGGACCGTGCATTATCGCTTCCATGTCCTTTCAGCAATCAGGGAAATTACGTAATAAGGTTATAATTTTTATTTGCGTCTCTCATGCTATCTTTTGAATTATTTTGTTTGTCCTTTGTTTTTCGTTGGACCTCAAGTTCTGACATGTCATTTTGAGCAGGATATTTCTGCGAAAACTCCTCATCCATCGAAACTTTTTTCTGGCTTGTTGATTTATGAAGCTTTTGTGTTTTTATCATTCTTAATTAGTTGAACAATATTTGCATAAAAAGGCACAAAAATTCACTGAACATAAATTTATATTCAGTAGTTAGTTGTTCTGGGTAGAGATGAAAATATCTGTTGCTGATATTTGGTACAGATTTGAGATTTGAAAACTGCTATAGATATCTGACAGTTCACTCATTGGATACAATTTATCATTGATGATGATTCCTTTTTTCGTGTAAAAACTGCATTTACTATAAATCTATGTTCAAATTCTTGCTCTGTTCTGCTTATCTAGATTTGCAATACGGGTTTGTGTTTTTGTGTGTGTATTTATGTATGCATTTACAATTTTTTCTTAAAGCAATAGAAGCTTCTTATTTTGGGCCCTCTGATACAGTCTTAGTCAGTTAGTACGTTGGATGGGAGTGAAAGCTGAAGAGCTGGGAGTAGAAATATATCCGGGATTTGCTGCTAGTGAGGTACTTCCGGTTTTACTTTACTAGTACCACCAACCTTTTTTTGTTCATTTTTTTTTTGTTTTGGTCAGATATTATTTGATGCAAACAACAAAGTTATTGGCATTGGAACTAATGATATGGGAATTTCAAAAGATGGTTCGAAGAAGGAAAATTTTCAGCGTGGCGTTGAGATTAAAGGTTGCTTCTTAGCCCACGTCTTTCTCTTATACGCGTTTTTAATTGCTTTGTCACAGATTTTTGGGAATGTTTGTATCATCTTCTGTATGTGGCAGTGACATATAAGCTTCCATGCTGCACCTTGTTTAAACCCTGAAGCTAGTCCATCAACTTGACCATGATTAGACCAATAGTTGGTTTTTCAAGTGTTGGTGAACTTTTCTCACCCCTACTTTGGAGAATTGGGAAATGAACTTTTTTAGGCATGTTGTCATAGCATAAGATTTGTTTGGTTCTTGATAGAGAAAGCGTTTACCTTCATTGTTGCTACGGCATACTACCTCCGGTCCTAATTATAAGAGCCAGTTAACTAATTTGAGGAGACTAATGAAGTAAGTTAAGTTAGTTATTTATCTTAAATAGGTGTTGTTGTCTTTCTTAAAATATCCTTGCTAATCAAGTATATTGACTAGAACTCTTATTATTAGAAGGGTTACTTTGAAAAAAATGTATAAATATGGGAGACAAAGTGGATTGAAGTCTTATATTTAGGACCAAAGTAAAAGTCAAACAGGGTCTTATATTAAGGACCGGTGGTAGTAATATGTTAGAGGAGACCTAGTGAACATTTATCTGTCAGGTCCAAAGAAAAGAACATTGCTTCTGTATGATTTAATCAGTGATTGGTTTTCTTTTCTAACCTCTGGTTTAAGAATATGGGTATGAAATACATGAATATAGTGTCATAACATGTACTACTAAACACAGTTAAACCTTCATCAAGTCACTTTATTTTCAAGCTTTGTTTTTTTTTTTTAAATTGAGACCTGTGATTAAATTCTTGAGTTTTCTGTGAATTTAGTTATTTGAGCTTTTTTTAGACCAATTGTGATACTTTGTTAACTATATAAATATGTGATGACCAAAAAAATTTTATAAAGAAGCAATCATGCAGGTCGCATAACACTTCTGGCTGAGGGATGCCGAGGATCATTATCAGAGGTTTTAAAATTGAATTTAACAATTATTACTCTCGTTTTCCTTGTCAATTGATGTTTTACTACCAAAATCTCTTATCCCACTCCCAATGTACCCTACAGAAAATTATAAAGAAGTTCAGCCTGAGAGAGAAGAGCAGGGCACAACATCAGACATATGCCTTGGGAATTAAAGAGGTATGGTTACTTCGCAATTTCCTTTGTTTGAAGCAATTCGTTTATGATGATATTGTTCTCACTTTCATTTTTAGTGAAAAAAGTGGAATCTTTCTTGTTAATGTTCTTTTGTTCAGTATATCCATGATATGGAAATCTTTATGCCTTTTTGTAACAAAACTAATAACCTTCATGATTAAATATTTGTCTCACATGGGTTTACATTATATAACTTTATACAATAGGTTTGGGAAATTGATGCAGAAAAGCACCAGCCTGGGGTAGTACTTCACACACTGGGCTGGCCCTTGGATCATAAGACTTACGGGGGATCATTTCTGTATCACATGAATGATAGACAAGTAAGTTTTTTTTTTTAACCATCATAGATTCACAATCTTCCTACATTGTGGACATTTGCACCTCTACAAGAAATTCATTAGCTCGGAACTTGCATTGAATTGATTGAGGCGGTGTCTTTTTCTTTAGTAATCACGGTAATAGTAGTTTATATTAATTTAGCTTTGCCTGTACATGCAAAAATTGACGGCATCATGAATCTTTAATGTTTAGACTATGGATTGTATTGCTTGATTGTTTTCTGCTAAATGTATTCCTTGAAATTCCATGGCACGATTTTGTCCCCCCCCCCAAAAAAAAAAAGAAAAAACATGTTTCAACTTGGTGGAGTCGTCTACCTCCCTTCATGGTTTCCTGTTTTGACCAGAAATTAACATATGATGAGTTAGTCACGAGCTACATGATATGGATTGTTTTGTTACTCCAAAATTTTCCTTTGCTAATGGAATAACTAATGCCATATCTCACTTTGCTAATGATGTATTGTTTTCATTTCAACTATATCAATCTTCTTCACTATGGCAGATATCTATAGGCCTTGTGGTTGCTTTGAACTATCAGAACCCTTATATGAATCCTTATGAGGAATTCCAGGTAAGATACATAATTTAATTTTATTTGTTTGAGAAGTTCTCAGGCTTCTATTTTCAATTCAAGTATATGTTACTCAATTTACTTCCTACTTCGTAGTTTTTGAATACTTGGGAAATAAAGGAAAATAGCAACCTTATATGAATCCTTATGAGGAATCCCAGGTAAAATACATATTATAATTTTATTAGTTTGAGGAGTTCTCAGACTTCTATTTTCAGGTATATGCTTCTCAATTTAGTTCCTGTTTCGTAATTTTTGAATACTTGGGAAATTAAAGGAAAATAACATGTTACAAAAACTGTTTCATGGGAAGAACCATTCTATCCACCATTTTCCCGCTCCAGAAAGCAGAACATCTGGAATTTCATGGTATACGACTTGGCACATTTGGGCCTTCCTTCTAATATGACGTCTTTTGCCATCTTTATTTCCATGGTGTCCTGAGTTTGCTAGTTACATATTTTTCTAATAATGTACAGAACTCATTTTCATGTACCTGGTTAGCCATTTTGACACTTCTGAGGTGAATTTTTCATCCTTTGATGGCATGGGTGATGAAATTTTTCAAGATATATGTGTATGAACATACTACATATAAATAAGAAAGTCATCACTTAGCTGGGAAAATGTAACTAATATATATATATATATATATATGGGTTAATATAATCTTTGATCCCTCAAGTCTGCCCTTATTTTGGTTTTGGTCCCTCAAGTTTCAAACTATAAGTTTTGGTCCCTAAAGGGGCAAAATGGTCCAGTTTTATGGTTATGTTATAGGGATCAATGTTATAAATGAAAAGAAATTAAAGAACCAAAACCTATATTTTGAAACTTGAGGAATCAAAACCAAAATGAGGATAAACTTGAGGGATTAAAGTTTGAATTAACCCTATATATATATATATATATATATATATATATATAATTTAACCTTTTGTTAGTTTTCTTGGTTTGTTGTATAAATATAGATTCTGGTTGAAACTTTTAAGTGATGTTGCACTTTATGAATCCCTGATGCTCTTTTCTCCCCCCTTGTCGACCAGAAACTTAAGCATCAACCTGCAATCAAAACATTTCTGGAAGGTGG